TTATTAAAACCGATAATGTGCAAAGAAATCGGTAACAAACTGCCATAAGCTTATGTTGACGTTCTTGCTTTTTGATCGTTTAAATTATATTGACGTTATATTCTAACCTGTTGTGTTGTCATCTATCTCCACGCAAATTTCTATAAAATATTTACAAGTCAATGTTTAAACGTAGTAACCATGCGTTTACTGTCAATAAATACCTTCAAGCTTTTTCTCTCCTGAGGATTGTAGATTAAGCTTTAATTGAAGCTCGTTGTCTTTATCTGTAAATACAATATAACGTGCAATACGGATCCGACCCAGAGTTGTTTATATGTTTCAAATATTTACTCCCATTGTATCATAAAAGTGTTATGCCTCTTTACCCATAGTTTACTTGTCTTTTTTCAAAATGGTACAAATGATTTAAATAAGGTTTCGAATGACTACCAGTTATAATTATGACTTGTCAAAATGTGTTACAGTTGATTAAATTGATAATAATGATTAAACTATAGTTGTAAATGATGGTAATGACAACGACGGCATCGGTGATGTGGATGGTGATAGCAATGAAAATGAATGATGAATCAGACATACACATATAACTTTTATATAGCAAGAAAATATCATAGAAACAAAAACTTATCAGATATAAATATTGAAAGTCTAATAGTTAATAAAAGTGCAGATATAAACATAAGAGAAATATCTTGAATTTAAGTTTACCTTCTGAATAACATTATTACAATAATAGGTGTAAAAAATTGTTACAAATTTTATCACTGTCATCTTCAAACTGTTCTCTTTTTTTGCAAATATTTTTGTATCATATCTTATTGTATCTTATTGTATCATAAGCGTTTTTGTACATATTTTTCGTGTATCTATTAGTTATTTTGAAAAGCAAATTTTATTCTCTAAATTGCAATCCATGATATTCGAAAAGCAATCTACAGATTCGTACAAATAGAAAACATTTGATGTACTTATAGATACGCGATTTTTAGATATGTTGTCTAGCTTTCTTTTAACTCATGTCAATGATTTGAATACAAGCACCTATGATTATCAAGAAACGAGTTATTCATTTTCAAATTATGTTTGTAAAAAGTAAGACAAACCTTTTAGCTGCTGCTCCATCTGTTGAAGTTTCAATTCAAGCTGAAAACGTTTAACAAGTTGTAAAATATCATACTCAACATCACTAATTCCGCGTCATAACTTATTTCTCGGTAACGGCGTATTTTCATCTGACCAGTGTTAGGATTGGTCAGAATTAGCATATTTTATTCATACACCTATACAACGAAGTGTTTGTGCAAAATATTTTAAATCCCTAAATTTTAACGTATAATATAACAACATTTTAGAAATTTCTGCAAAAGCAATAATAGTCCATGAAATTTGTGCGTATGTCTGAAACAATCATCATTTTCTTAATGTTCTTGTTTGTTGAAAAAATAAAGTTTGAGTAACAAAGTAAGGATACTTTTAATATTAAAAGCAAGCAAAATTACATGTAGAAATGTTAACTGAAACATAAAAAACTCTATTACCGCGATTTAAATGATGACATACTGTTTTCAAAATGGCCGACATATGGACTACGTTTGGTCCATTTAAATTAAATTTGACTGAATATATTGTTGTTTCATTGTGCCTGCCATACAGCAGAAAATACCTATTTGTTACAGCTTTTGACAATTTTTGTACCATAAGTTTCATTTTTGTTTTTATCTGGTTTCAAGGCGTTAAGTACCGTGAATTAAGAGGAACACAGTATACGTCTAATTTAAACTGAGGGTTGTTGTCACATTGGTCGAGCTCACATCACAGTCTAGTCTCGCTGGGTGGCGGGTTATCCCTTTTGGCGGTTTTTGCCTCCCAGTTAGTTTCTTTCGGGAATCTTTTATTAAACTATGTTATTAAATCTATTTGTGTATTTAGTATAAATAATGCTAGTTTATGGCATTTTAAATAAATGCCCGATTTTCATTCAAATCATGTGTTGTTTTCCCTTTGTTCCCTAACGAGTTCGACCTATCCTGTGATTTTAATCCTGATCTTGGACAATACATAAATAATATTTTATGCCCACATAAAAGATTGTACGTCATTGGATCCCCTATTAATTCGTGACGTCCGGAACTTAACGATCTTATTCAGATTTTAGCTAGACGCATAAATTATGCTATTACCCAATCAGATGTTTACATTTTATCATGTGATTTTTCTAATCCAATAGATATGTAGATAAGCGATATCTTTGTTCATTTTTGCGTGCATTGTTTTGTTGCCAATTTTCTAAAGAAAAAATAAAACCAGCTCCTCCAACTCCACCACCTCTTTCAAATGTTGCCATGATCAGGGTCCATGAAAATATGATACATGCTTTTTTACTTATTCTTGTTCTAAAATTGATCTAGTCTCTTTTGTTTTCTTGTTAATACATCAGGTCTTATGTTAATACATCTTGATTCTTTGTTAGGGCGGTTTTTGCCTCCCAGTTAGTTCCTTTCGGGAATTTTTTATTAAACTATGTTATTAAATCTATTTGTGTATTTAGTGCTAGTTTATGGCATTTAAAAAAAATGCCCGATTTTCATCCAAATCATGTGTTGTTTTCCCTTTGTTCCCTAACGAGTTCGACCTATCCTGTGATTTTAACCCTGATCTTGGACAATACATAAAAACTGAGGGTTGTTGATAACATGCATACAAATATGGAAACAAAGTTCTCAAAATAAGTTTTAAATTCTTCCTTGTTAATATTTAACATAAAGGAATTCAAACGTAATACATTATTCATAGAATTAAACTTTAGACTTGCTTGTTCTTTTCCCGCTTGGCATTTCTCTTCTAACTTATACATCCCATGAGCCCTTAACTGTTCCATCTCGTGTTCAAAGTTTATCTCGATTTGATTTTGCTGCACCTGTAAAACATTTATTGACGCAAAACATTAAATTCATTCAACTATCAAAAAAATTGAACAACGTAGACAATAAGCGCTATTAAAATTCTTAGAAAGTAAATTATAATAATAATAATTCATAATCGAGACATGTTATTCTTAACTGGGATAACATTTTATTTTCATAGTAGCATACAATAAATTGAAACCCCTAGCACCGAAGCACCTAGTAAATAATGATAAGAGACAGCTGTAAAACCATTTATTTTATATGGTACATCCTCGATTGTTTTGGTGATATTTGATTGCGACATTCTTTTCTTTATCCTTTTTCAGGTGTTTTTTTTTTAATTTTTATATTTATCATTTTTCTCTTTTTTAAATACTGTATAATCATCATCAAAAGGGACGTGTCTAACAAAGTACTGAACAGTTTTAATCGTAGACTACCTTTTAACATACACAATACAGCTTTAACTGCCATGCCTCTGTTATGTAAATAATCCTTCTTAATTAACCTATATTTAATATTTACCAAGGATTATATTTCACGCATTATATAACATTATTACGATTTTAACATTATTTGTTTTATTTAGATTTACCACATCCAATGAACGTAATGCCTCTTGCACGCCTGGTTCATCTTTAAGAGGCATATTGCCATGTTTGTCCTTGATTTCTAGTACTTCTCTGAACAAATTTATAAAGTTGTCAAGTTGATTTTCAGACATCTCATAGTTTGAACTGTGATGAATATCATTGCGCGCTTCCCGTGCCTATAAAATAATTCCTTTACATTTATATCAGTTTGAAAATGCAAAGTCGTTATTGTTATCATTGCTTAATGGGTAAAATTTACATTTTATTTAGTTACAGGACGTTGTATCATAGAAAAGACATGCATGTATTCTATCATTGAACTTATTATTGTAATATGCACAAAAAGGTAAACTGCATATTTAACAAAAAAACATTAAGTTATTATTGATATATTCTAATGAAATGGATGGTACACTTTAGATGATTATTATTTTGCCAAACATATATACCTGTGAAAAAGCATCTGACTTTCCATTAATGATATCTTCTCCGAGCATCATTTCTATGAAAACATTGTTAATAAACAGGCTCAGTAAGCCAGAGCAGTCGACATCTTTAGCTGATTGTTTGTCTTTGTAGCCAGTAGTATTTATAAAGCATGTAGCAACACTCCAAGGATCACTGCTCCATTTTCTTACATCCGTGTTTGCCAATAATGGATCTCGGAAACGATGATCACAAACAATACGATCATGACATTTGCCACAAAATCCATTTGGACACATCTTTCCAGACTTCTGTTTTTGATTTTTAGAACAAAGACATTTTTGTTTATTTTGGTGTGGACACTGGTCATGTTTATGTGGTAAAAGACTTTCCTCTGTACAAGTATTACATGTGCCTTGAAGACTTGACAGAATATCATCGTGGTGTTCTTGAACAACCTTGTCGGAAAATTCTTCTAAACCTACTTTCAAGTATTTAAGTGCTAGAACACTTCTTACCCAATTTTGGAACAACTCCTCTGTTAATTGTATTCTGTGTAAAACGTCTGTTTCCCCTAGATTACATTAATTGAAAGAATATTTATCAACATTACTATTTCATTGGCAATACATGTATATGCAAAATAAGAAAGAAAATCGAGAAACAAAAAAGAAAAAAAATCTAAATTAAAAACTCAATACAACTGTAAAACGTGCACTTTGACCCGAGGTAAAAACTTACATTTTTTATCAATCATTTCTTAGATTATTGAGTAAATAGAAAGAGATAATCTTATTTAATTTTCATAAACACTTCTTCATGTATAGGATAACTTTGAAATGTACCTTGTATAATCACGGTTGTTTTGGATGAGACTTCTCCAAAATCAACAGTATATTCACCTTCATCTTGGAAAGTAACATTCTTTATCGTTAGTATGTGTTTAGTTCCCTCAACTTGTATAAGGTATCTACTACACGATTGTATTTCTTCTCCATCGTGTCTCCAAACTGGTTCACTAGTCCGCATGTTCACGCCACACTCTAAAGCAATGTTTTCATTCTCTGTTGCCTTTGACTTGAGAGGCAAATCAAAAACCAAAATCAATCTTTCATCTGTGATAAATATATGAGAACATAATAATAAGAATAATAATTAATTAATAATCGCTTAATCCATCGAAGTAATTTGTTTTGTTTGGTTTTACGGAGCACGAAAACAATTTAGGTAATATGGCGAGGAAAAGGGGAAGATGATTTTTGCTTGCCTCGGGTGTTCCACAAGGGGCTAAAACCACGTCACCTGCTGTGGGTAAGATATGCATTGACGTCGGTAATTTGAACCGATTAAGTCGCCTCTAATGATCACGCAGGGGTAATGGTTAGCTGCAATTATAATGTCCCAACACTTAAAGGCAGTATATTTGTTCAAGTAATTAATTAGGGAAAATATCTAATAAATAAACTAAAAAACATTTTATCTAAATTATCCTAATGATACCACATGGCCTCCAAGGTGGTGGCTTATTTTACACTAGGTGCAAGATTCCAATGAGGTTAACCATGCAATGTTATATGCAAAACATGGAGGCACAGAAGTTATCAATAAAACGATAAGATGCGTTTCCTCTACCATAGTCTACATTAAGCAATTGACTCCCAGGTGGCAGGGTCAATTTTGACCTGTAGGTCATGATAAATTGAACTTTTGTAAATTGACAAATTTATTTAACACGTCAAATATCTTAGCTTTGTAGTTTAACAAAATAACCCTTGAATGTGTTTTCGTACAAAATCCTATAATCTTGACACCAGGGGCATAATTAATATCAGTTTTGCAGAAATTCACACGGTTGTGCTATATGCAAAATTATCTTAACGGTCCGCATTGTATTTTCACACATTAAGGCTTATATCTCTTTCCTTTATAAATTCATATATCAAATTAATTGACACCAGGACATCCATGTATTGACCGAAGGAGCACGATTGAAACATGATATAAGTTTTTAGATGCCCATAACAGATGCCGTATGCCGAATATGTAAGCTCTATGGATGATGATTTTACACGACTCAATAAGTTTTTACAAGACTCAAACTATTTTTTTTGCAGAAGTCAATATAATATGTGTGTATCCCGGAGTTGGGCCAATATTGACTCGAGCGGCATGATCTATATTACTTGTGTGTCTTGTTTTTTTTAAAGAAAGAGAATAACAAGCTTTGAATACAGGAACATTATTAACTGTAAGTTTGCTTATAGAACAATTAGACAAAACAGTTATTAATAATACTTAGTACATGTACCTTTAACTGTAAGATTAGCTGATGTTGAAATATTGCCACATACACACGCATAGTTGCCCGTATCTTCCAATGATGCGTGTGTTATCGCTAACCAATGGGTGCAATGGTTTCCCATGAACACGATATTGTCTGTCATTTCGACCGGCAGGCTATCTTTCTTCCAAACAACAGTCTCACTCGCTGGGGAGTTAAGTTTACATCTCAAAACAACCGAATCATTGATGTAGACATTTTTGTTCTGAAGTTCTTCAGTGAAAATGTGGTCTGTAATATTCAGTACTTTTTAATAAATGATTTAAGAAAATAGTAAAAGATTTGTTTTAACTGCTTTATCAAATTATCAATTATTATACCAGTAATTTTCATTACGATTTGATGAAGGAATAAATGTTACAAATAACACATTCTTGTGAACATTATTTATTCAAATGATTTTTTTACAAAAACAACATCAAATATCCAAGGCAAAAACAAGAATAAGAGAACATTATTTAGAAAACATGCTGAAGACACCCTATTATTAGCCGAAAAATTCAAGCTCACTTCGGTACAAAACTGCAAAAATTTAGATAATAGAGATAATATCGTAAGCAACAAACGAATGAACAAGAGCACCGCTAGGCGGAGCATTATATGCCCGAAAGGGTTTTTTTCTAGTAAGGATGAAGCATTTGTAAGACATTACATAAATTAAATAAAGTATTACCTCAATCAAATAGCAGTCCTCCTATAAAGTTTGAATATTGTGGGCCAAATGGAACTTAAGTTATGCTCTGGAAACTGTTTTCAGTTTTGAGGTAATAGCGACCTTGAACTTTGACCTTGTGACCCCAAAATCAATAGGGATGTTCTACCCAATAGGACAATCATCCTATGAAGTTTCAACACTATGGGCCAAATAGAAATTAAGTTATGTTCTTGAAACTGTTTTCATTTTTTTAAAAATAGTGACCTTGACCTTTGACCTTGTGACCCCCAAAATGAATAGGGGTATTCTACCCAATATGGACAATCATCCTTTGAAGTTTGAATATTGTGGGCCAAAAAGACCTTAGTTTATGCTCTAGAAACTGTTTTCAGTTTTAAAGTAATAGTGACATTGATCTTTGACCTTGTGATCCCAAAATCAAAAGGGGTCTTCTACCCAATATGGACAATCATCCTTTGAAGTTTGAATATTGTGGGACTAATAGACCTTAAGTTATGCACCAGAAATTGTTTTCATTTTTATAGAAAAAGTTACCTTGACCTTTGACCTTGTGACCTCAAAATCAATAGTGGTCTTCTACCCAATATGGACAATCATCCTATGAATTTTGAATATTGTGGAACAATGAAACTTAAGTTATGCTCCGGAAACTGTTTTCAGTTTTATAGTAAAAGTGACCTTGACCTTTGACCTTGTGACCCCAAAATCTATTAGGGTCTTCTACCGTATATGGACAATCATCCTATGAAGTTTGAACACTGTGGGCCAGTTGGAACTTAAGTTATGCTCCAGAAACTGTTTTCAGTTTGAAGGTGATAGTGACCTTGACCTTTAATCTTGTAACCCCAAAATCAATTGGGGTCTTTTACCCAATATGGACAATCATCCTATGAAGTTTAAACACTGTGGGCCAATTGGAACTTAAGTTATGTTCCGAAACTGTTTTCAGTTTTAAGGTTATAGTGACCTTGACCTTTGATTTTGTGACCCCAAAATCATTTGGGGTCTTCTACCCAATATGGACAATGATCCTGTGAAGTTTGAAGACTGTGGGCCTAATGGAACTTAAGTTATGCTCCGGAAACCAAATTGCTAACGGACGGACGGACAGACGGACGGACGAACAAATAGAGAGATAGACAGACGGACGGACGGACGCCAGGGTTTAAAACATAACATGCCCGAAATTCTTTCGGGCATATAAAAACGAACAAAAATTGAAGATTTTTTTAAAGTAAAGCATACCTTCTGTTTGAACAGGATAATATTCAACAAAAGTAGTAATGATAATTACAATTTTTAATAGATACACATCCTCAGTTTATGTGTATTAATGGGACATTAAATAATTCAATATATAATGACATTTTATTAAGGATGCTGGTAATTTGAACAACAATTGATAACTATTAAATGTTTTTAAACCAAAAGCAACGCTATGACCAACTTTACATTTGTAACACAACGTAAACTTACCATTTGTCGGCCAAATTTCATTGTCCTCTCCATTATTGATGTCGACCTGTGTTACAACATTTTCTTTCATTGCAATTTTAAGATGGGTTTTGACATCATTTGTCTGTTTCAGGCTGCCTTTAAGTTGTTCGCTTAAGTGAATTGATGTTGGTTCAAATGAATACATCATGCGTTTACAATAAAGCTTATCGTGGTCGCCTATGAGCTTTACCAACTCGAGTAATTGCTCGCGCAATAATCTTTGTTTCTCTTTGTAGGTATTGTATGTAAGGGAGGCACTTTCTACGTTTTCAATATCTTTTCTCAGATCATATATACATTGAATGGCTTTAACTTCTTGATCAGCTAAATCAGATTTAAATAAGAAGAATATAGCAGCACAAAGTTGAAGAGTGTCCCAGGAATCGAAATCGCTATTGACCGTATCATCTTGAAACAGCTGAAGATATTCCGCTTCGTACTTGGTTTTAAATGAGTCTTTATTTTCATTTAACAAAGGAGCGATATCTTTTCCACATGCGTCCAGTTCCCTTTTAATAATGGCCTTTAATGCAATGGGCGAAGCTTGTTCCAAAAGTAATAAATGACTGAGATAGTATTCGTGCACTCTTGTTAAATCGTCCTTATTCTGTAACAAATTAACTTTTCTTTTTAAGAAAGGGCAAACTTGTATTTTGTAATGTTTAAGTAATTATTTTGTATAGAAATATTAGATGCATATTGTTTGAAAAAAGTGGCAATAAAAATAAAATGATTTGTCATAGAAGTATCAAAATGTTAACAAAGTAGTATTTGGACTTCTATCCAAATTACTAATTAACTTTATTTGTACTTATTAACAAAATTCAACAGAAGAAACGATGGTATTTGGCCATTGAGTAAATTTTTTGATAGTTTAGGATTACACCAAATTTAAAAAGCTTTCGAGAAATCGAAATCAAAAGAAAAACATTTCTAAGACATGAATAGGCCTTTAGTGAATAAATATTTTTCAAAATAAGTTTTAAAATGAATATATCGTTAACAAGACCTAACAACTTGATTTGACAAGGTACCATTTGACACTGGCAATTTAAGATACAATTACAAATAGCAAAATATTGTATAGCAAATATTTCATAGATATTAACAAATGTTTGTGAAATTAGCTCATCTGAATAATTCAATGTGTTTAAAAATGTAGCATTCGACCTGAAGTAGTTTTTCAAATGTCGTATTATGTAGAATAATTTGTGCACATTTCAAAAAAATAATATTCAAATTAAAAGGAAAGCTCGGTAGGGACATTTCATCTCCATGAATTCCCGATTTCAACTTCATGAATTCCCGATTTCAACTTCATGAATCACGATTTCAACTTTATGAATTACTAGTAACGATTTCAACTCCGTGAATTCACGATATGAACGTTACAAACTCACGGTTTCAACTTCACAAATTCACGATTTCAACTTCGCTATTCAAGAATTCAACTTCATGAATTCACGATTTCAACTTTATGAATTCACGATTTCAACTCCAAGAGTTCACAATTTCAACTTCATGAAATTGAAATCGTACATTTGTGAAGTTGAAATTGTGAATTCGAGAAGTTGAAATCGTGTATTCATGATGTTGAATTCTGAAGTTGAAATCGTGAATTCATGAATTTGAATTCGTGAAGATTGAATCGTGAATTCATGATCTTGAAATCATGAATTCGTGAATTCCGCATGTTCAAAACGTGAATTCAGGAAGTTAAAACTATGAACTCATGAAGATGTAATCGGGAATTCATGAAGTTGAAATTAAGCTACCGGTCTTTCGTAGGTTACGTATGATGAATCCTCCATTGTTTAACTTCTTTATTTAGTTCATCTTGTAAATCTATATACTACTTGTAGTTGCCAGCCACCTGGTAAAAGTAAAAGAATTGATAAAGATCAACTTATAGAAAGTTAAATAAACAGCATATAAAGTAAAATATACAGAAAATAAAGTAAAACAAGACTGCATTTGAGAAAAATGCTATGCCACCGCATTAATACAACACTAAATAGTAGTGTAGGAACAATTTTTTTTATTCTACACAATTGAAGATTGTCATAATGCATAGATCCCTGACCTATCTAATTTTTATTATCAGATTAGTGGTTAAAATCTATTGTTAATCCAATAAAAGATCGAGTAGGAATATATCAATGCATTTGAGTCTAGTGAATTTGGTGGTGAAAGTTATATTTCACACAGCCTAAATTTCATTACTACTTCAAAGGACAACACAGCTGATATCAAAGTTCACTTTCCATCTTAATCTGTGCACATGGTTCAAATTTCATAGCTGTACATCAAAGGACAAGAAAGTAGGTCACATCATCAAAATCTAGGGGCGGAACCAATTTTGACCCCAGGGCTATAATTTGAACAATCTTGCGTAGAGGTTCACTTCGCAAAAGTCTCATGCCATATATTTACCCTCTAGCCTTTGCCAATTCAGAGAAGAAAGATTTTTCAAGTTTTTACTTTATACATATTAGGAAAACTATCGCCTCTGGGCAGGGCAATTTTAACACTAGGGGCATAATTAAAAACAACTTTAGTAGAGGGACCCATAGATGATATTATATACCAAATAGCCAAAGCTCTAAGCCTTGTACCTTCAGACAAGAAGTTTTTTAGTTTTTTACTATATGTACATAGTGAAAATCAATGACCCCTGGGGGTGGAGCCAATTTTGACCCCGGGGCTATAATTTGCACAATCTTGCTAGAGGTTCACTACACAATGTTTCATGCAAAATATCTTAACTCTAGTCTTTGTAAATTTAGAGAAGATGAATTTTTTTATGTTTTTACTATATACATATAAGGAAAACCTATGGCCCCTGGGGCGGGGCTATTTTTGACTCTAGAGGCAAAATTTGAACAACTTTGGTAGAGTACCTATAGATGATATCAGATAACAGATATTAAAGCTCTAAGCCTTGTACCTTCAGACAATAAGATTTTTTTATTTTTTACTATATGTATATATTGAAAAGCCATGATCCCCGGTGCGGGGGCAATTTTGACCCCAGGGCTATAATTTGAACAATCTTGCTAAAGGTTCACTACACAAGGTTTCATGCAAAATATCTAACCTCTAGCATTTGTCAATTGCTAGCAGAATTTTTTTTTAAGTTTTTACTATAAGTTTTTACCAATGACCCCCAGGGCGGGGCCGATTTTGACCCCAGGGCTATAATTTGAACAATCTGGGTAGAGGTCTAGCAGACAATGCCTTATGAAAAATATCTAAGCTCTAGGCCTTTTGGGTCTTGACAAAAAGATATTTAAAGTTTTTACTATATGTACATATAGTGAAAATCAATGACCCCCGGGGCGGGGCCGATTTTGACCCAAGGGCTATAATTTGAACAATCTTGGTAGAGGTCTACCAGACAATGCCTCATGCAAAATATCTAAGCTCTAGGCCTTTTGGGTCTTTACAAGAAGATTTTTTAAATTTGTTCTTATAATTCCTTTTGGTTGCCATAAAACCAGATTATGGCAACCAGATTTCTGCATGGAATGAAAATTTTTGAACAACTTTGAAAGTCCTTCATCCAAGGATCAATCCTGCCAAGTTTGGTTGAAATTGGACTAGTGGTTTTTCACAAGAAGATTTTTGAAGTTCACACAAACACACAAACACACCAACACACACACACACACACACACACACACACACATACATACATACACACAGGTAAATCGCTATATGCCACCGCATCGCAGATGCTGCGGCGGCATTAAAAAACAACAAAAAGAGTATAATAACCTGCTAGTAAAATAAAATAAACGGAAAATAATGTAAAATAAGCAGCAAATTAAGGAAAAAATACAGGAGATAAAGTTAAATCAACAACTTATAAAGTATTAAAATTAACATTCTAACACGACCCGCATTTTTCCCTATTGAACTAAGAAGAACAGAAAGTGTGTGTTATTATGCAACAGATGCACAGTTTGACGTTCTATATTTAGACATGTGACGTAATCATTATACACGTGACGTAATCACTAAAAATCCGACGCCCGGAAAATAAGTACGGAAACAAATCAGGCGCAATTTTGCTTATCTATCATGTACGGCAACATTTATTTGTTGATGTCGTGTTAGAATCGAAATAATATATCCAAATCGGTGATTTTATCGCTTGATAAAATCACTGTTTGGGATATATTATTTCTTAAACATATAAAGTAAAATTAACAACATATAAAGTAAAATAAACAATATATGAAATAAAATAAACAACATATAAAGTTAAATAAGCAACATATAAAGTAACATAAACAACATAATATAAAGTAAGAAACTACATCCGGGTACCCATCTGTAATTGATGTTTCATCCCTTATCTCAGAACATCTTCTATAGGACAGATAGTGTTGATCAGGTACAACCTCGTCATCGATGGCTGCCAGGTTGGTTCATTGCGTCTTATCCAGAGCCAACTGGACGCTCTCTTTGAAACTTTGCCAAGAGCATGTGCTGCTGTTTTCCGGGCTCCTACTTTAATGCACACTGCTCTCAGCATTTTCCAAACTGACTGATAGAAAACTTATGCACTCAACTCCTACTAGGAACAGCCATGTCTTCCATCCTCTTTACCTACAAGTATCTACCAAGTCTTGGTATTTTCCCTTCTTGTTCTACAATCTCTTCCCCAGGGACAGTGAGTTCAACCATTACAACCAACTTTGGAGACCTTGACCACAAACCTATGTCTGGCCAGAATGATGTGTGAGTCACTTCCTCTGGGATCTTTAAATTCTTCCCAAGGTCTACGTAATTCTTGGACGTATGTAAAATACCAGTATTTGTTGATTTCGTAGACTTCTCCCCCCCATTCTTAGACGAAGTTGATAAAAAATATGGTCCTGTCTGATTTAACGGTCTGTCGTTCTTCCTTATGTTCTCAAGGATGTCTGCCATTTAACGAAGAACTTGGTTGTGACACCATCTGTATCGTCCCTGGGAATGCGGTATAACATGATGATATGATAATGGCGTAATGATTCTACATTCCCGCAAAGAGGACAGCTGGGATCTGCTGACAACTTGCACAGTTTAAGATTTGTCGGAGAATGTAGTTGGTCGAATAGATCTATGGGGAAAACTGGTTCATATCGCCATTGTTCATGCAAGGTTAACTTCCACTTTGGTAAATTCCACTTCATCTATTTCCCCTGTGATTCAAATTAAACTGATGTTGATGACCTTATTTTATCTTCTGCTCTCCTTAGTTCTGTCTGAACCATTGGTCTTCTCTCCACTTTGTCACACTCTCTCCATGATTGTTTGTACCTGGTACCTAGTCCTTCCCTACCCATGCGTGTTGTTCCTACAATATCCTGGAGCTTTGAACTACTTTCAGCTTGTTCTACTGCCTGCATCACTGACAATTTCCTTACACTTCTAACTTCTATGCCTGTACCATTAATCTTCTCATCAGTGTCCCTTATTGTTAGCAGCAGACATGTTTTAGAAACTATATACTCTTTGACTGGTTAGTTATATGACATTAATAGCTTTAATAAATCTAAACTGGTGAATGATGGTGGGAGGTCTAGCCATCTTCTTTGATGCTTGCTAACCGACTTCTCTAGCTTCTCGTTAACCATCGATCGCCAGATTAGTCTAGCTGGTAGATCGTGCTGGAAGATCCATGCTTTGTACTTCCCAGGGAGTTCTGACTCGTCTTTTCTCCATAGCCCTTATTCACCTTGCTATTTTTGTATTTCTTAGCTTTGAGTGTCCTTGAGCATGGAATCAAGCCACTTTCCCAAACACTCACTGGGTTGTTGACTAACGAAGGAATCTCCTCGTTCTGTATAGTTAGCTTGAATTTTTCTATTTCTTTCCCCTTTACTCACTAACAAACACCGTGACTTTCCTGGTGGGGTATAAAGCCATGAGCATTTGCAAAGTTAAACTATATTACTGTTACTTTCTTTGGTTGATTATCGCTTCGGGAGCGATTAGCGATTGTGTGAGCGCGCTGGTGTGTTCGACGCAACCAGAAAATCCTCAGATTCCTGTACAGACGAGATGATATACTCTTTTTGTAAAGTGTTACGGACCGACAGACGGACGGACAGACTGACAGACGGACTGACAGCCGGAGGCCATTCCTATAATCGCATTTCCGCTACGCGGAAAAAGATTAAAAAGTGCATAATGGTGCTGTTTAATTAACATTCTTCTTAACAGTCTGCATTGACATTCTTATAACACGTCAGTGACGTTAGTCTCTAAAATAGGAAAACATGTATCAAAACGTATCGAGAAGTTTCCTTTTTGTTTGCAAACATGGCATCATATATGCCAGGTTCATAGGATTCTGGTCTGGTATAAATATCGTTAGCTAGGTCCATACACTTTGATTTTCAGCAAATTGTCAGACACTATTTTGTATTCATGCTCAAAATAGAAATGTTCATTATGATATCTGACTCCTTTTTTCATGTAAACAATGTTATTAACTTGCAAATAAGGTGTTCTTGAATGTCAAATATAAAATGTATCGACATCCATGTAGTGAAGTCTAAAGAAAGTTATAGAGTGAACTTGATGGGGCGGATAGTAATTGAAATGCCATATGACGCTCCCGGACATGAAAAAGGAGAGCGAGTAGCGATTGTGTGAGCGCGCTTGTGTACTCGACGCAACCAGAGAATCCTAGGATTCCGCCTTTTTGTACAGACGAGTTGATATACTCGTTTTCCATCATGTAGGTCGTCGTTCGCTTGGCTGGGATGATGAAGAAGAGCTTTCCTTCCATATTCAACAATAATATGGTTCGGAATTGTCGAATATTCTTCGAGATCTCCTCTTTAGGATCAGATAAACCTTTCCTTCGACTGCTCCAATGAATGTTGACTGTAGGACTAGCTATAAGTCTTCGTCTAACAATGTCCAGTCTTTGTCGTCCATCTTTGTCAAGCAATCTTCAGTTTCCTCTCACTAGAAGTTAAATGTTGCCTTTCATTGTCTGGTTCGTGTGTCAACCCATTACTTCCTGCGAGTGGTGTTTGACCTTCGATGCTATTTTCTGTTGCTGAGACTCTCTCAGTGACACCTTGCCTTAACTTTACCCAAATGAAGGTGAGTCCTCTTCTACCTCTGGTACATCATTATCTTGCTCTTCAGGGAAAAGAACATGTATACTGTCCTGCAAAGTCAAGATATCACCTACAGACTGAGTTACCTCCACCGCCGACCTGCTACTTTGAAAATACA